CTACGGGAGCATCTGCAGCTGCAAGGACCCGGCCCCCATCGAGTTCAACCCCGAACCGGTGAGACGCACTAAAGCTCCACTCTGGAACTTTTGGGTGTCGGACCCTCCTCCAGACTCACACGGAACCTTTAAACCCAGCGTGTGCGGGCGGGAGGGCATCTGACTCAAACCTCCATCTGTTTGTTTTTCTGCAGCTGCAAAATAACAAAGTGTTTAACGTCCCTGTCGCCGTGATCGCAGGAAACAGACCCAACTACTTATACAGGTGAGACCCTGTCGCTACAGGTGAGGTCCTGTCGCTACAGGTGAGACCCTGTCGCTACAGGTGAGGTCCTGTCGCTACAGGTGAGGTCCTGTCACTACAGGTGAGACCCTGTCGCTACAGGTGAGGTCCTGTCGCTACAGGTGAGACCCTGTCGCTACAGGTGAGACCCTGTCGCTACAGGTGAGGTCCTGTCGCTACAGGTGAGGTCCTGTCGCTACAGGTGAGGTCCTGTCGCTACAGGTGAGACCCTGTCGCTACAGGTGAGGTCCTGTCGCTACAGGTGAGGTCCTGTCGCTACAGGTGAGGTCCTGTCGCTACAGGTGAGACCCTGTCGCTACAGGTGAGACCCTGTCGCTACAGGTGAGGTCCTGTCGCTACAGGTGAGACCCTGTCGCTACAGGTGAGGTCCTGTCGCTACAGGTGAGACCCTGTCGCTACAGGTGAGACCCTGTCGCTACAGGTGAGACCCTGTCGCTACAGGTGAGACCCTGTCGCTACAGGTGAATGTGCCCTAAGTCTTAAGATAATAATCAGACTATTGACATTTATTCAAATATTTTTCCTAAATTAAAACATTTTGACACGTTTCCTGTTTTAGAAAATCATGATCTTGTATGTTAATGATGTAAATATGTAAATGAGCTGTTGAATATTCATGAGTGTGTTGTGTGTCAGGATGCTGCGCTCGCTGCTCTCGGCCCACGGAGTCAACCCCCAAATGATCACCGTGTTTATCGACGGATACTACGAGGTACTGAACCGGGACTGGACCGAGACTGAACCGAGACTGGACCGGGACTGAACCGGGACTGGACCGGGACTAAACGAAGACTGAACTAGGACTGGACTAGGACTGGACCAGGACCAAACCAGGTCTAAACCGTGTGTGTGTGTGTGTGTGTCAGGAGCCCATGGACGTGGTGGAGCTGTTTGGTCTGAAGGGGGTGCAGCACACACCAATCAGCATCAAGAATGCTCGAGTGTCACAGGTGAGAGCCAATCAGAGACCAGAGAGACTCAGAGGAAGTTCAACCTTAAACCTAAAAGGGAAAAAGAAAGTGATTTTTGTTGTGAGCTCGTTCACATTTCCACTTAAATGCTCCTTGTGTGTGTCTCCAGTGTGAACTTTAAACGTCCCCAAAGTGTCCCACATGTGCACGGGACACGACCACGTCACACACAGCGAGTGTGTTCAGTCCCACATGTGCATGGGACACGACCACGTCACACACAGTGAGTGTGTTCAGAGTTTACAGACGTCTCCCTAAACTCTGTTCTTGGTCCAGTTGTTGGTAAAATGTTCAAGTCACACGTCCACGGCCGCTTCATTTGTTTAAATCTTGAGCCTCCTTGTGTTTGTCTCAGGCTCTTTATTTTGGACGTTGGAGTCAGGTCGACCTGTAGCTGCACATTTCTTTGGCATCATTTCTAAACTCGCCCGGTTCAGATAAACTCATCCAGTTTGTCCTGAACACAGAGAAATATGAAGGAACCTCACTTTCCCTCCTGACCAGACTCGGACCTGACCTGTAGGTGGATGAATGTGACCTGGACGACCTGAAGTCACATGTCAAAGATCAGACGTGTTTGGGTTTGAGGAGCTCAGGTCCGAGTCCTGGTGGATCTGTGAGGTTCAAAGATCAGACACAGGAGCAGAGGAGGAAACATCACATTTGTGTCGCTGGAGGCTCCAGACTGAACCTGGACTAAACGTCTCTGATCTGGGAACAACTCAAGTCCTCAGGTCCTCAGGTCCTCAGGTCCTCAGGTCCCCAGGTCCTCAGGTCCCCGGAGGAGCTGGAGGAAGTGTCTGGGGTGAAGGAAGTCTGGGAGGAAGAACATGGATGGAGGTTGTTTACGACCCGGCTCTGTTAGGGACGGGGGGAAGGAACAAAGATAAAACCAAGATTTAAAATGGAATAAATTAAATAATGTTTAATGAACAGGGATGTAAAAGGTAAATGAACAAAAGACTAAAATATACAGAAAATAACATAACTCAGTTTATTCTGTTGTTGTGTTTCTTAGTTTTTGTGCCACAAAAGGGTCACGCAGGTTTACACAAAACAAGTGGTAAAACTAAGAGACAAACACGAAACTAAAACACAACTTCCCCAAATTAAACCAAATAAACCCACAAACAGAATCTTGTGACCAAATAAAAAAAAGACAGAACTGAACTAAACTACACACAGACACAAAATGGCAGCAGCCCTGATCAGGTGCAGGTCATTT